AATATATATATATTTGGGAAGCACAGTAGCTCCATATGATAAGCATAAGACTGTGGACCACAAGGTCTGGGGTTCAAGTTTGCCAGCACTCCATGGGAGAAAGATGAGGCTTTCTGCTCCTGCAAAAATTTTAAAAGTCTCAGAAATCCTCTACAGGGTCACTATGAGTCAGAGCCAACTTAACGGCACTTAATAACAATATATATATCTTTGGGGTGAGCAGAAGCAAGCTCTGCCACAGTATTGTATAATACAGATTTCACTTGTGAAACATAGGTGTAACCTTTGTTTGTACTTTTTCTCTCATAGGAAGCTTCTCTCTCTCTGTCAGGGATTATGACCCTATGCAAGGTGATGTTATTAAGCACTACAAAATTCGAAGTCTGGACAATGGGGGTTATTACATCTCTCCACGAATCACTTTCCCCTGTATCAGTGACATGATTAAGCATTATCAGAGTAAGTAAAAACTGCAGGTTGGCCAAAATAAAGTACATTTATCATGATAAGTGCCCCATAGCAGCCACAATGGGTTCAAGCATGCCAGTGATTATGAGGTTGATGTAGGACTGAGCAGTGTTTTGTTCTTGTTGTGCATGAAATCACCATGAGTCAGAGCTGACTTCGATGGCAACTTAGACAGCAACATTCAGCAGTACTTTTACATTCAACTTGTTTATTTATCATACCTTGGATAAAATTGGACAGTGACTTTCCCTTAAATACAGATTCAAAGTAAGATTTGACCTTTGCAAATAATTACCCCAGTCTTCCCCATCAAGTCCAGGCAGTTGGAAAATTAACAGTTAGATATTACCAAAACTGAAATAAATACAATTGGCATATAGTATTTTTAAAAAACATCTTCAAATACCTGGAGCAGGAATGGAGACTTGCAGGTCTTTGTGTATATCTTTGTATGTGTGTGTATAAAAGTAATAAGCACTTTGGTAAAATATGACAGAACTAGCAATAACAAAATCCAGAGTCATTAAAAATGAAAGGTCAGTGTGCTTCTGTCCTCAGTGCCACTTTCCAACCAAAGACTGATCTTTACATTCATTCTGTGTGGTTGAAGTTGGTAGCAGTAGGAAACTGTTGCTTCCGCTTGTATGTATGCCTGCTCTCAGGGAATGTGCATTACGAATTGGTTTAAACTGAGATCACAGATTTGAGGAGAGCAAGTTATCCTAGATTTTGTGAACTTCTTCTCATTTATTTATCCAGCACATGTATATGTTGGGTATTTGCTAGGCTCTGGCCTTGTCCTGGGGACTGGGTGTTCAGTGATGTCCAGATTAAGTCCCTGTCATTGTGTTTTGTGGTGACATGGGTTTAGCAATCCCAAACTGCACTGTATTCAGTATAACAACCTGACAGCCTTTGCTTGTTTGTTCACTTTGTAGTATTTCTCTTACATATTAATTAAATTAGTTGCTGTCAAATTGACTCTAACTCATGGAGATCCCATGTGATAAAGAATAGAACTGTGCTCCGTAGGGTTTTTAGGTTCTGACCATTCAGAAGCAGATTTTCAGTCCTTTCTTTTGAGTGGATTTGAGCTAACGGTCTTTTAGATATCAATTAATCATTTGCTTCTCCAACAGATGCCCTTATATTAGCAATATTAATTGCAAATTTAAAATTGTCTTTTCATTTAAGAATTTTAAAAGTTAGATAAAGAGATACCCTGTAAGCATTACAGGTTCACAGACTATGACAGATTAGCAATTCCAAGACTAATCTAATTTTTATTTATAGATACTGCTGAAATAAAACATATTACTTTTGTTTTAAGTTACATTTAAAACTATTTTCCCTTTAGAGCAGTCCGATGGCTTATGTAGAAGATTGGAGAAGGCGTGCATTAGTCCCAAACCACAGAAACCATGGGATAAAGATGCCTGGGAGATCCCACGGGAGTCCATTAAACTGGTGAAGAGGCTAGGTGCAGGCCAGTTTGGAGAAGTCTGGATGGGTGAGTGTGGGGCTTTGAGAAAAAGGGACTTGGGCCAATTTCTGTCTGTTTTCTTTTCCAACACTAAATTGGTCAGAATCATCACTTCTTTTGCTCTCCTCTTCTCCGGAGCTGGCCAGATAGGTTTCACAAGCTTGTGTGCTTTGACTCTTCCCCTCCCTGTAACTTTGTCTTTCCTTTTCGAGTTAATGGTTTTAAGAAGGAGGGCAGTGCTATTTGTCTGGATTTCCCTTTCTCCTCTCTTATACTTCTCTCATCACCCAATTCTCTGGCACTTATGCTAACAGCATGAAAATGACTTCTATCTCTGGAAAAGGTGCGCTTGGGTGTAGGACCCTCTTTACCAGTATGCTCAGTAGGAAGCCTTAGAATTGTTGCAATCTGAGGATCACCAAGAAAGTTTTTAAAGATGCTCAAAGTTCCACCATTAATGGCATACTCCTCAGTGTAAAGTATTGCCTTCTCATGCTGGCAAGAAATACACCCAAAATTGTAACAATGGTTTACTCTGGGGGATTCTGTGCTCATCTGTCTTTTCTAACACTTTCATGTTGTTAACTGCTGTCGAGTCAGTTCCAACTCACAGCGAACCTGTATAGAGTTTTTGAGGAGCGGCTGGTGAACTTGAACTGCCAACACTGCAGTTTACAATGATCTTGCAGGCCAGAACATTAACCCACAGCACCACATCAGCACTCCTTTTCCAGTGAATATGAATTCACTTTTTTAGTGAATATGAATTACTTCTGTGATAAAAATAAACAAGATTTTTACTTAAAAGTGTCCCATTTATTTATGGTGCTAATAAAAACTGCAGTTACTTCTGGAAGGGTGGCATGTTAGGTCACACACATCTTAATGGTCACTTTATTTGTGCCAGCATTGTTGAATGAAAGTAGACAGGGTTTCTAAAGCAAGAAGGGGCAGACAGCTTAAGAAAACGTCCGGTCCCAGCTTCAGAAACTAAAGACTTTCCCAGCATGTTGCAACCAAATGGAAATTTCACTTCCTCCATTCAGGGATCTGTGAGGGAGAGATTTCTTTCCTCTACAATCTTAATGCCTTGGATCGCCGTCTAGTTCACTTTCTCTTGTTGGCTCTGCTTTGACTTAATAAATATTGACACAGTATATAAAGGATTCTGGCTGCACTACAAGTAACATACAGAATTCATTCTAAGAACTCTACTGCACATTCTTCATTTGGTTTGGTAACTTTCAGAACTAGTCTGCAGTACATTTCAGGAACGCTCCGTTTCCTGACAACCACTGACCTGCATTCTGTCTCTATGGATTTACCTATTCTGGATATTTCATGTCAATGGAATCATAGAATATTTGTCCTTTTCTGTCTTTGTTTGCTTAATATGTTTTCACAGTCCATCCATACTGTATCATGTGTTATAATTTAATTTCTTTTATAGCTGAATAATAATACTCCATTCTTTAGAATTTTATGTCTATAAAACATTTTGTTAGTGGATACTTTGGTTGTTTCTACCTTCTGGCTATTTTGAAGAATGCTGGAGTAAACATTTAGTATCTGTTTTGTCTGCTTTCGATTCTTTTAAGTATATACATACTTAGGAGTGGAATTGCTGGAAAGTCAATGCTATGTTTAATATTTTGAGGAACGACTAAAATTGTTACGCACTCTTTTATTTTGTTTTTTAAAATCCTCACGCTCTATCTTTTATTATGATTAAAATATATATAACCTAAAATGTATCAATTTAACCCTTTTTAAGTGCATGCTTAAGTGATATTATACTCAATTCAAAATGTTATATAACTATCACAACTAATCTATTTCCAGGTTGCTTGAATTGTCCCAAACAGAAATTCTATATCCATTAAAAAGTAACTACCATTGCACCCTCTCCCTAGCCCTGGTAACCTCTATTCTACTTTCTGACTCTGTGAATTTATCTAGTTTAGATAGTTAATAGTGCCCTGGTAGTGTGGTGGTTAAGTGCTTGGCTGCTAACTGAAAGGTCAGCACTGTGACATGATTAACTACTCTGCCTTGTTAGGGTACTATGGGTTAGAGTAAACAACACACAACCACACAGATATAAGTAGAATATAGATCTTCTCCTATTTATGACAGGGTTCTGCTGTGACAACTTTGTTTTCAGTTCTATAAGTTGAATATCTTTTTTTTTTTTTAGTTTCCATTTGACATATAATTTATAGATACATATTAACATCGTACATAGTACTAACTACAAGTGTAACAAAACAGATAGTTCAATGTGTGGTTTATTATAACTAATCACATTTAAGTCAGCGACTACTACCTGTATATAATATATCCAAAATATATACACTTACAACTCAAACAACAAAACCAACCCAATCAAAAACTGGGCAAAAAATTGAGCAGACATTTCTTCTAAAAATATACAGATGTGGGTCTCAGGGACCCAGAAACTGAGTAGTTTTTCGCACCCCGGAGGCTGTACCCGGTGGCTTTGCTGCCGTCACCATGCCACAAAACGAATATATTGAGTTACACCGTAAGCGCTATGGATATCGTTTGGATTATCATGAGAAAAAAAGAAAGAAGGAAAGTCGAGAGGCTCATGAACGTTCGAAGAAGGCCAAAAAGATGATTGGTCTGAAGGCGAAGCTCTACCATAAACAGCGCCATGCTGAGAAAATACAAATGAAAAAGACTATCAAGATGCATGAAAAGAGAAACACAAACAAAAGAATGATGAGAAGACTCCACAAGGTGCAGTACCTGCCTATCTGCTGGACAGAGAGGGGCAGTCCCGAGCGAAAGTACTCTCCAATATGATTAAACAAAAACGAAAGGAGAAAGCGGGAAAATGGGAAGTCCCTCTGCCCAAAGTCCGTGCCCAGGGAGAAACAGAAGTATTAAAAGTTATTCGGACAGGAAAGAGAAAAAAGAAAGCATGGAAAAGGATGGTTACCAAAGTCTGCTTCGTTGGAGATGGCTTTACACGAAAACCACCTAAATACGAAAGATTCATCAGACCAATGGGCTTACGTTTCAAGAAGGCTCACGTAACACATCCTGAGCTTAAAGCCACCTTCTGCTTACCGATACTTGGTGTGAAGAAGAATCCCTCATCACCGCTCTATACAACTCTGGGTGTAATCACCAAAGGGACTGTCATTGAAGTGAACGTGAGCGAGCTGGGCTTGGTGACACAAGGAGGCAAGGTTATCTGGGGTAAATATGCTCAAGTTACCAACAATCCTGAAAATGACGGATGCATAAATGCAGTCTTACTGGTTTAACAGCAGTTTCTTTTAAGTCATTTCTTATTGGTGAAGACTACAACCAGGAAAATTACCATCACCTGTGTTTCTGAGGACTATCGCATAGCCTTACCCGTCTGCAGTTATTAAGAACTATTTATGATGTTGTTAAAAACATTAAAATTGTCCAGTTTTACAAAAAAAAAAAAAAAAAAAAATATACAGATGTGCAATAAGCACATGAAAGTATGATTTTCAACATCATCAGGTCTCAGGGAAATAGAAATTAAAACCACAAAATCATGTCACTTCACTCCCACTAGGATGGCTATTGCCAAAAAAGCAGAAAATGGCAAATGCTGGTGATGATGTAGAAAAAAATGAAACCTGCATTTGTTGCTGGTCAGGTCAGAGGGCTGTATAGTGGTGTAACTGCTATGGAAAACAGTGTGCTGCTTCCTCAAAAATGGTAAACAGAAATAGCCTATGACCCAGAAGTTCCATTCCTGGGTATATACCCAAAAGATTTGAAGACAAGGACTCAAACAGATACTTGTACACCATTGTTTATTGCATCATTATTCTCAAAAGGTCAAAAGTAGAAACAACCCAATGTCCATTAACTGATAAACAAAATGTAGTATATACACACAGTAGAATATTATGCAACTCTAAAAATAGCTGAAGTTCTGATACATAATATGGCATGGATTTACCTTGAAAATATGCTAAATGAAATAAAGCCAAGACAACAGTGCAGAACTCTTCAAGAAAGGGTTGTTGGTTTTGTTGTTGTTAAGTGCCATTGAGTCAGTTCTGACCCGTAGTGACCCTATACAGGGTTTCCAAGGAGCAGCTGGTAAGCTTGAACTTCCAACCTAATAGTTCAAACAGACTTTGCAGTCCAGTGCATTGACCCACAGCACCACACCAAAAGTATATAAACTTAAATGTAGGATATGTCAAGAAATAAAAGCTTCACATTTTAAGTTTTGTGTAATAAAGGTTTCTATGATTTTGTAGCTGTACTTCTTGATCATTGTATATCCTCCACCTAGATTCACCAATTGTTAATATTTTACTATATTCACTTTATATATATATACACTTATTCATGTGTACACACACTGCTTTTTTGTTGTGAAACCATCTGAAAGTAAGCTGACTCTTTACTCCTTATCACTTACATGTGTGACTGTTAAGAGCGGGGGCCATCATTTTACACCATTCAGTGATCACTTTAAATTAACATTAATATATGGTGGTAGTGGTGGTGTGCCATGGAGTCGGTTCTGACTCATAGCGACCCTGTACAGGGTTTCCGAGGCTGTAAATCCTTACAGGAGCAGAAAGCCTCATGGTAGTTTCGAACTGCTGATTGTGAGATTAGTAGCCCAACTTGTAACTACTGCACTACCAGAGCTCTTTAGCATTAATATATGCTCTTATCTAATTTGGAGTCTTGGTGTGATGCTATGGGATAAGTACTGGACTGCTAACTGAAAGGTCCATGGTTGAAACACAATCACTCATCAGAAATCTAACGCAGTCAGTATGAGTCAGAATTGGCTTGACAGCCCTTAACAAGAGTAACAATAATGATCTAAGTTAGAGTCTATATTCACACTTCCCCAGCAATGTCCTTGTAGCTAATTTCCTCCCACTGAGTATCACATAATTAACACTTAGTTGACATATCTTTTTTTCTTTAATCTGGAACAGTCTTTCAGCCTATCTTTATCTTTCAGGAAATGGACATATTGTAGAACA